TGCTGGGTGGCAGTGGCATCTTGCTTGGAACGAGTAGCCCTGTGGTGCTGCGGCTTCTTTGGGCTGTGGAGCCGTTGGTTACCAATAGCGCTGTCACCAGTTGGCTTGTGGATGCCATCAGCACTGCCCATGGCTGACAGTGGAGTGGCATTGGTCTCCCCATGAACTGATGGTGTCAAAGCAGGTGTATGTGCTGTGACAGGTGGCCTAGCTAGCAGCTACCACGACTAAGGCTTCCGGTTGAGTTGTCAGTTGGTCCTTCAAGGCGATGAACTGAGCTTCCATCTTTCGTTTGAAGGTTTCGTGGTCAGCTCTAATGTCTTGCTTGAATGATTCATGATCAGCTCTCAGGTTTCGTTTGAGGGACTCGTGGTCAGCTCTCATGAGGGACTCGTGGTCAGCTCTCATGAGGTCGAGTTGACGGGCAACGGTGGCCTGTTTTTGTTGAAAGCGGATCAGCATGTCTTCCATGGCTGGGTTATAGATGAGGTCTGGGTGACAACTGGAGCTGTCAGGGGACAGCTCTGAAATCTCCCCATCACCCAGCTGGTGGTTGGTCCTACCATAGGCCATTGGTGCCGGCCTCTTCGCAAGGATGTCGAAGGGTGATTTGTATGTGTCTGGTGGGAACACTGTTGACACAGGTGGTGCCGGTGCCTTCTCAAGAATGTCAAAGACGGATCTGTATTCATCTGGTGGTGGCACTGGTGGCCGTGTGTCCCGATGCCGGTGGCGGTGGGCTGGGTTGATGTTGCCAGCTCCATCGTGGTGTGTGGGGCGGGCACAGGAGTAGCTACCTTAGACTTGGGACCCAGAGTAGACGCGGTGTCAGCCACGGTCGGAGTAGCCAGGGGCAGAAGGGTCACTCACATCGCTAATGAAACCGTAGAAAGACATGGTTCCTCTTGTTGCTGACAAAGGAAGAGGTGTTGGTTGTACTTGGTGGGAACACAGGATTTCAGCACTGGTAGCAGTGGAAGAAAGGCTGGCTCAACTGTACTTTGGAAACCACAAAGGACACTTCCAGTGGCCTTGGTATGAGGCTAGTAAATTCAAGTTGTATGTACTTGAATAAGATAGCCAGTGTAGAGGGTCTGGAACCTGCTTCCTGTGTCACCGTGGTGCTGGGAATTGGCTTGGATTTGTGAGATTTTGCCACCCTGGAAGCTAGCTTAACTGGGACCAATGAATCTCCCCACAAAAGCTCCCAGAATCCAAGGTGAGCTACCCACTGACCAAACAAAGGATGGCGGATCCACTGGTAGCACTTGCAGCCAAGCGAATTGACCTCTTGGTTGCCTCGAGAGCTCTCCGAGTGGCTCTTTGCTCCCTTTGTTGGCTCGCTCCGTGAAAGATCGTGATTTCACGATTTTCAATGACTCGACCACGTAAACGCCTTAAAATGTGAGACGGATACAGCTTACGGAGGCTGAGCCTGCTTTCGGGACCAGCACCTGTACGGGGAACGTTCTGGTACAAGTCTTCGTGGATCCAGGATAAAAAAAAACTCAATGACGTTCCACTCGCTGACTCAGTGCACAATCAATAAGTACCGAAACTTCACGGAACGCTCGAATCCTGCACGGGCGTTTTGATTGGCTGAGCGGCTTCCGATAAAAGACCGTCCTGGAGCTTCCGAGGATCTTTTCAACGTTCCGCGACGGAAACTGGTGACACCTGAAAACTGCACAGGCGATTGGAAAGAGATATGCCTGAGAAAGCGCAATAAATCACGTGATTCGTCGAAAGCGATATGCCCGTATCGAAAGATATTTGCCAAGTTCCTTCGAACGTAAAAGGCTTGCTCGATTGCCAAGAATGGGTGCGAAATCAATAAGTCTCGTGTTCACTCGGAGACTCCAGGTGTGTTCACTGCTTCTTTCGAGCGAATTGGTTGATTTTGCTAACTTCGGTTGCACCGAGGTAGCTAGCTATCCGTCGGCAACTTTGCGTGTTGTCAAGATGATGGGAATCTACTAATAGGTCCTTTCGTGATGGCAATTGGCTTGTGGATTGGAAGATGGCCAAGTCAAAGGTTCCTGTCACTGTGGTGAAGGTTGGAAGTATCAAAATTGACCAGAAGGTTGTGGAGATAAGCCTTCAAGATGGGCCTTGAAATCACCACCAAATTCCAATGAAATCCAATGAATCCAACTGTAGCCGTAGTGTAGTTCGAAGAGATCCTTTTCTCATCAAGGAGGTCTCTTCTTCCCTTAAGAACTGCCTGCAAATCTATGCGTTCTGTTAATCCAGTAACTTTCAGTTCCAGGACTCAAGTAGTGGACTGGGTCTCGCTGAAGCCCTTCCTCAGGAACAGCGGTAGTCAGGCAGGTTGGGAGCCTCGGTGTGCCTCAGGAGTGTTCAACACCTCCAGTAGGCACCCAAACCAAGGACTTGGCCCTGTCAGTCAGACAGGAGGGCCAGCAGAGCTCTCTGCTGGGCCCTTTTGGGACAGCTCTCCTTAGGAGCTGGGAGCCTTCGCTATTCAATCGTTGTGGGGCAGTCTGGGAACAGTACTATCTGCTACCTCCTACTGCTTCTGCCCGGCCTCAACAGGATAAGAGTCAACTGCTGCGGTATCAAAGGGGCTACAAGCTAATCAGGATCGGTCTCAATCTTTCGTACTATTTTCTTAACTATGGTAGAAAGGACGATCCTTTCTTGCTGCTTTGGTTGGAGATAAGCCAACTGCGCCTGTTGGAGCTATAGGCCAGCGTAGCTGTTGGAGCTATCTCTGACGGGATCCAGAGCTCTCGCTCCTAAAAGTTATCGTTTGACCAGCTTAGAGTAGGTGGCGAGTCTACCCAATAAGCTAGATAATAACATGGTAGGTAGAGGTTTTCAAATGGTAAGGCTCTACACCTGGAAGGGCTTGCGCAAGACTGTGCAGTCTGTATGTCAGCGATGCCAAAGCTGTCAACTAAACAAACCCAAGACGCGCTAGCTAGTAGGGTTACTTCCTCCCAAGACATGCCAGGAAATCCTATGGGAAAAACTATGCATTGACCTGATAGGTCTATACACAGTCGGAGATCCTAAGAAAAAGAAATCCTGCACACTCCACTGCTTGACGATGATTGCCGGATGGTTCGAGATCTTGGAGATTCCCTCCAATCAGCCGATGAAGTAGCCATCGCCCTAGAACAGACATGGCTAGCTCGATACCCATGCATGGCCTGCCGAAGTTCTCTCTGGTCGAGCGAGCTCATAAATTTAAACCATCCACAACTTGATAGCTGTCCAAGCCATCAAGAATCAAAACGACCTCGTGAATGGATCCTGGAATGGAGTTCTGGCCACGGCACAGTCCACAATGAATGCCACGATTCACACCACCCTGCGCACAACGCCAGCACAACTTGTCTTTAATCACGATGCGATTCATAGCGTTCGCTTTGAAGCGAACTGGAAGTACATCAAGGAACAATGCCAACGACATATCCAACAACAAAATGATAGAGAGAACACGATGCGTGTCCCTCATCAGTACAACGTCAATGATACTGTTGAATTATCAGCACCGCAAGTACAGCCAGCCTAAGTACAAAGGTCCTTATGTTATCGACAGAGTCAATGACAATGGCACCGTACGGCTCCGACATGCCACTGCACCACTGCAAATGGTGGTGGTACAGTCTACCAGACTTGGAATATAAAATATTTACACTCATACAAAGCCTGATTCCCTTGTAAGATTTCTATCGTGCAACGCACATACATGTCTACATCCAATCTCCGGAGAGTCCCCCGCACTTAAATTCATATATCCTCATTTGTCCAACTGATGTCCTGCCTCCGTTGACCCTTATCGGGGCGGGGGCGAATGCAATACTCGGCCTTTAGCCTTATTCGTGACTTGATCCTAGATGGGACTTGAGCATGACTCCAGACTGAGTTCCTCATGAATAGTCATTGAGACAGGGTTCTCAATGACCTCTAGTCATACTAGGTTGATGATGAAACATCGCTCTAGGTAATTAGCTTACGTGGAGAGCTTCTGTGCTGCTAGTTGAATACTAGCTAGAGTTTCCACGCATTCCGAAATTGGGATCGTGGAGTACGTAAATTCCCTGCTATAATCTACGATATCACACTTCCAAGTCTTCCGCGGGAGTTTGGATCCTCGAGCTTCAGGACGAAACTCTCTCTTTGATTAGTTTTCATAGCTTTCTAATCTCTCTCATAATTTACATTCTTTCAAACCCAAAATACTTAAAAGATCTTATACTAGCTTTTAGCATACTTCAATAAGCAAATGAGAGGACGTCCAGACCATTCTGAGCTGCTGGGCTCATTCGAGATATGGGAGCATTAGCAAAATGATGCTCTCGCTCCATATCATCACTCTTTCAACCCCGACCAATAGAAGCACCAATTTCCGATAAGACATCATCCTAGAGTTCTCCATATACTTGATGCCATGTTGACTCAAACGGAATGATCGCAATTTAACCCAGCCTATACAGATATGAACATGAACTAACATTTCTCCCTAAAACTAGAGCATAGCTTGAAAATGTCTCCTTACCGCAAACGCCCTTCCGACGGAGTCAGCGGAAAATGGCATTTTCTCGGTGCATTGACACCAAATGAGTTGAAATTGATTTGAAGTTGTTAAATCCTTGAATTTCTACCATACTATTATGGGGTGTAAATTACTCTTAGTTTAACAAACTATGGCCATGAAGTGGCTTTATTTATACAGAAATTCATGGGCGAAGACTAGCTCATGTATTCGAGTAATCAGTCTACTTTGCTGCCTACTCTGCATGTTGTCACCCCACTGATCCAACGTGGGGCCCGCATTTAGTAGACGGAATGCCCTGCAGAAGGGTGGTTAGCTATTCATACAAAGCAAGAACTTGCAATGCCGGGCAATAAACATGATTTTCAGCACCGTACTATTTTTAAAAATCACACACATATGACTTTTCCAGTAATAATATTAATTATGCTTGTTGCAAGTTCCCTATCCAAAACCCTTTGGGCTTAACACAGGCCGTTCATTTGGATCCTTTGGTAACTCTGCAAACTACAATGGACCATCAAACAGGGGCTGACACTCCTATGTGAGCTGCTGCCAGTCGATCGTCGGTTGCTTCCATTTGTTTTGTACCACAAATTCATAATGGTGATAACGAAGAACAGAACAAAGATGGTAACGATGACAGCAGTACCGGCAGCAGTAGCAGCAGTGACAACGATGATGGTGGTTCCATTACGTTTCAGTGCTCCCGCATACTGCAATCTGAGAGCCTTGCCAAAAACGATCCTACACGAACGGCTCGACAGCAAGCGGCCGCTACATCACTGCTTATGGGACGATATTTGGCATCCTGCCATGCTAATGGGGACTGCATCTTGTGGGATTTGTCCAAGAGACAAGCAACTACTGCACATTTCATAAATGAAAGAGGACCGGGATGGTCCTTGCAGCGACTGGACGACAGTCAACGCTTTCTCTATCAGACACGAGACTCAAGGGGGACCGTCTCTTGCATCATTGGGAAGGTGGAAATAACGACAATAATATTTCCACCACTCTATCTTCCATTCCAACCCATTCACAAACTTTCTGTGCGGCGGCTCCCTGTCATTCCAATCCAAATTTGGTCGCCTTGCCCTCTGCCGATGATGCCGTTGCCACCATTCGAGATTGGAGAATCGAACCAACCGCATCGCCCGTGGCAATCTTTCCAGGAGCGGGACTTGTTCCCAAGGAGCAAAATGATGTCATGGCGATGGACTACGAAGGGTACTTTGCCAGCCGTCGTCGACATGGATGTTATCCAGCCTCGCCTTTTCCGAGTCGACGATCATCTCAGCAGGTGGTAGCAGTCGACCCATTGTGGCGTGTGGAATGGAATCTGGGACCGTGTTCTTTCATGATTTACGCATGTTGATGGATCATAAAGAAACAACAACCTCCCTTGCTACTGTCAGCAGCATCAAGCTCTCCACTGATCCAGTACTGGCATTGGATATGGCGCCGTCTCATGGTCCACAAGCAAAAGGAGTCGTGGCAATTGCGGGCATGGCAGGGGAAAGTATGGGACAGCAAGAGCTACCGGAAGAAGAGCAAGGGACAGTGGCCATTCTCAAAGCCACTATTGGGTCTTCTGCTGGTGACAAAAACAACAACAATAGTATTCAAGTGCGTGTCCGATCAAGGATCCCTACATGTCGTACAGGTAAACCCGGAATCAACCGTCTTCGATTTCAACCAGGTGGTGGACGACTGTTTGCCGTGGCAGGATGGGATCAACGGTTACGAATCATGGATCGAGCTGCCATCAACAGCCGTGGCAAGTCACATCTCAAGGCCATTTTACGAGGACATGACGACAGTGTGTCCACAATGGATTGGGCACCCGACAGCAACCAGTCTGGATTGTGTGCCACGGGAGCGGCCGATGGGAAAATTCACATCTGGAGGTGTTTTTCAAAGGCAAAAGAATAATTTCATATGATACTACTTTAGCCGTGTCTGCCGAAGTTACAAGTGGCACAACCAGGCAATGTTTTCCCGTGCCTTGGTAGAGTATGGACAAGCCTATTGCAATTCACTGGCAATAAGACTAAGTAGATATGGCACAGCACAGTCACCAAGAAGCACTAGATCCGATACCCCTCACAGAGACCCTCTGGATAATCAACGTCATCAAAGGCGTATACTCGAAAGACATAGTCAATAGTCATCAGCAAAGAAGAGACCAAAATCACACCACCAATGCAAAAGGCAATGTAGGAGTTGCGTTCAAAGTTGCGTCCGTTGGCACTCTTGGCTTGACGAGCTTGACGCATCACCTTGTTTCCAAACAGGGAAGCAAAGAAACCAACCACAAAGCAAACAATGGCATAGTCATACAGAATCAGGCCAAAGACCAGGTAGGAACTGGCAGATGCAAAGCTGGTAAACAGAATCATGGCACTGGAAGTGGCACTCACAACTGCTGGATGAACTCCCATCGCAAGCATGAGTGGGACTGTTACCATGCCACCACCAATACCGAAGAGCCCAGCGAAGGTCCCGGCACAGATGAAGAGTGCTGGATATATAATGGCACTGCGAGCATCCCATTTGATATCTCCATGAACATAGTCAAAGCGCACAATTTCCTTCATCTCATGGCGATTGACAAGATATGTCTGGGCGGCCCAAGCTGAAGATACCAGGAATGCCACCATGATCACTTGAACGACCCAAAAGGCAACCGAACCACAGCGGATACCCCAAGGGCTGGGAAAGGCCCCTCCTCCAATCATAATATTCAGAAACATTAGAATGGAAAACATGAGACACAAAGCAATGATTTTGGATCGGGGAGTAAACTTTTCCTCTTCCAACAATCCTGATCGGAGTGTGATAAAATCTGGATTCAAAATGAGAATTTGTTGCCGTTCTTCCACGCCCATTTTGCGTGGAGTGGATCCTTCGGACTGTGTCTTTTGCAACTTCAAATCATCATCTTCAAACGATGTATCAGGGTCAATTGTCGTGACATCATGATTCTCGCAGGTCATGTTGCTAAAACAATCGTCATCTGTTAACATTAGATAGTACATGGAACAAGAAGAGATAATGAAGACAACTCAAGTGTCAGAGCTGCCTACTCTATATAGGCATAACGTATTACTGAAAGCCAAGACTTTTTTCTCTTCTAAGTGGAGTGATGATTGACATAGCAACATCCACACTGCAGGAGCTTCCAGCCAGATGGTGGTGGATGAAGAAAATTTCTCGGGCCTTAGGCAATGGACACTTCGACCATGTAGCAGAGCCTTACTAAATGAGCGAACGTCTACGGGTACGAGACCCTTTATTACACTTTCCTCAAGATGGGGTAAATATGACTTAATTAAAAGAAGAGGTATTTGAGTCCAACCTATCTCGCTCTAGAACGTTCCATGGAAGCCCAGGCATGTGGCTTCCTCTTGTATACATATAGAAGTCCTGTACGGTACCCCATTTTGGGGTCTTGTAAGCCTTATCTGGCTACATATGGCATGCTCCAGACGGTGTGTTGGTCCTCTCTTTGTCGAGCTGTAATAGCGCCATTAGCATGAACAGGCGAAAGTCTATAGATCACCGAGGAAAAGTTTTTCCAAAAAGTGAGAAGGTTTAAATAAAGAGGGACAACTCGCTACATAGGAGGAGCACAGGCCAACTCGCTTGGAGCATGCTTAGATACCCCTGCGAACGGAAAGTTCCAGCCCTCTCAACACACTGTAACTCCGAGACTGTGAGAAAAGAGCACAGAATTAGAATATCCGTGACTGCAGCTTTAGATAGATTCGTACTAATAATTATATAATAAAGATCAGGAGAGGTGAAATACCATGTATGTATAGCTAGCAGCACTTTTTACTATAGGTAAATAGTACCGGGCTCACTATTTGGCCAGATAAGTCAGTGTTCTTTTTTTAGTGATAACGTACGTTTCAATACTTAGACCTGAGCAAGATCGATCGTGTGTTACTCTTACTTGTTAAATGAAAGATTTATGCTCGCTATCTCCTTTTTCTTCGAATCCTGCATGGGCCCGTGGTTGCACCCGTCTTGACAAAATAACTATGGAAATTGAGTACTTTTCAATACTCCGGGACACATTTCACCTCTAGCGTTATTTAGCTCTGAGGTGTGCAGCATTGGTTTACTGAGGCGATTTATTTGAACAATGAATAATGAGGAATTCCGTACAGTTTATGCAAGCCAACATCATTTACTGTGTAAAATCAGTAGGATTTGATTTGCGAACACAGCATGAGACTCTGAGTTACTCACTGGCTCGCTTTCAGAACTCCCAGCTCACTTTCAGGAGGATGCTTTACCACTGATACAGCTTTTGGCTCGGTTCCTTGACAGTAACTTTCAGTTCCAGTACTCAAGTAGTGGACTGGGTCTCGCTGAAGCCCTTCCTCAGGAACAGCGGTAGTCAGGCAGGTTGGGAGCCTCGGTGTGCCTCAGGAGTGTTCAACACCTCCAGTAGGCACCCAAACCAAGGACTTGGCCCTGTCAGTCAGACAGGAGGGCTAGCAGAGCTCTCTGCTGGGCCCTTTTGGGCCAGCTCTCCTCAGGAGCTGGGAGCCTTCGCTATTCAATCGTTGTGGGGCAGTCTGGGAACAGTACTATCTGCTACCTCCTACTGCTTCTGCCCGGCCTCAACAGGATAAGAGTCAACTGCTGCGGTATCAAAGGGGCTACAAGCTAATCAGGATCGGTCTCAATCTTTCGTACTATTTGCTTAACTATGGTAGAAAGGACGGTCCTTTCTTGCTGCTTTGGTTGGAGATAAGCCAACTGCGCCTGCTGGAGCTGTAGGCCAGCGTAGCTATCTCTGACGGGATCCAGAGCTCTCGCTCCTAAAGTTATCGCTCCCCACGAGTGCGTATGGATCCGCTCTCATGGGTATGCCACGATATACGATTAGCTACTAACTAACTATCTACAAACGCTCCCCATGAATGGAACATCCATGGGCCACTCAGCATCGACTGCTAGTGGAACACAATGTGAGATTAGGCCCATCCTAAGTGGGCGCCCTCGTGCGCCTGAGGTATATGGGTTCGTCACGGCACCGTTCAGCGGATCGTCTGACGAGGTGTAGCCTTTAAAATAAAATTTCGTTATTCACAATGTGAGATGGGGATCTCACAAGAAGTGGAGGGACTTGCATGGTTGGTTGGTTGCTGGACCAAAGGTAGGCAAGCGGTTGCCTGGTTCATCAGCTTCGCCGGACTTGTAGGCATCGGCTTAGCTGGTTGTTGCCATAGTTCTCTTTTCTTCATATGCAACAAATATTGTAGCGTTGCCACAGGCCGTGTCTAGCAGTGGCAAGCTCTCAGTGGAGTGGCCTTCTTGCCCCGCAATCATGTCCCTTGACGGATGGGATGGATGGGCTGTACCAGACAGGGACGTAGTCTAGTTGCCCGTCCGAAAATCCGGGGGCGTCACCAGGAATGGTCCACTGCCATGCACTAATGCCATTGCAGCCAGCTTTGGGGTAGAAAGCATGGTGGCGGTCAGCTTCTGGGAAGGCGACACCATGGCAGTCAGCTCCTGGGTAGGAGACACCAAAGCTGCCTTGGTCAAAGGTGCTTGCTGTGGTTGCTCCCATGGATTCCACCAAGAGCAAAGGGTATCTGCTTGGTGGGCCTCCTGCAAATGGACTGGTGATGGTTGGACCAAGGCTGTCCTATCCAAAGACAACGGCACCTCATTGGGACGAGTCTTGTGGCATTGACTGTGCCATGTTGGTGGTTCTGTGTGGAACCAGGCTGGGAACCTGGGGTCACTGTGGGTGATGACCACTAGGTCTCCTGCAATGTTGGTTGTGGTGGGACCTTGTGTGCTCTGTGCCTGGAGCAGGTTGCTTGGGGTTACCACTGTGTGGGTCTGCTCATGGGCTCTTGGTTGTAGAGCTGACTTAGTGGGAGCCACACTTGGTCTATTTTGTTGTGCAACTGGAATGTTGTTGGCGCAGCTCTGGAAGCTGGTTGTTTGCTGGCTGGAGGTTTTGCATATGATTCCCCAGAGTTGGATGACTACTATGGCTGGCAAGCTCAATAATCTCCCCATCATCCAACGATGGATGGGCATCAGCGAGGGCATTCAATGGGTGTGACACTGGGCAAGCTGGTGGCTCGTACTGGACAGAAGAGTTTTTTTTTATCCTGGATCCACGAAGACTTGTACCAGAACGTTCCCCGTACAGGTGCTGGTCCCGAAAGCAGGCTCAGCCTCGGTAAATCCTTCGGTTCACATTTTAAAGGTTTTTCGTGGTCGAGTATTGAAAATCGTGAATCTCAGATCTTCGTACGGAGCGAGCAACAGGCAGCGAAAGAGCCTAACTCAGAGAGCTCTCGAGGCAACCAAGAGGTCAATTCGCTTGGCTGAAAGTGTTTAACCAGTGGATCAGCCATCCTTTGTTTGGTCAGTGGGTAGCTCACCTTGGATTCTAGGGAGCTTTTGTGGGGAGATTCATTGGTCCCAGTCAAGCTAGCTTCCACGGTGGCAAAATCCACACAATCCAAGCCAATTTCCCAACACCACGGCAACACAGGAAGCAGGTTCCAACCATCTTACACTGGCTATCCTATCAGTACATACAACTTGAATTTACTAGCCCTCATACCAAGGCCACTGGAAGTTCCTTTGTGTTTCCAAAGTACAGTTGATGCAGCCTTTTCTCCACTGCTACCAGTGCTGAAATCCATGAGCTTCCCACCGGTACAGACATACACCTCTTATTTGTCAATAACAAGAGGCACCATGTCTTTCTACGGTTTCACTTAGGATGTGAGTGACCCTTTAGCCCCTGGCTACTCCGACCGTGGTGCACCGCGTCTACCTGGGTCCCAAGTCCAAGGTAGCTACTCCTGTGCCCGCCCCACACACCACGATGGGAGCTGGCAACAGCAACCCACCCACCGCCACCGGCTCGGGACACACGGCCACCAGTGCGCAACCCAGATGAATACTAAAGATCCGTCTTTGACATTCTTGAGAAGGCACCGGCACCACTGTGTCAACAGTGTTCCACACCAGACACATACACTCACCCTTCGACATCCTTGCGAAGAGGCCGGCACAATGGCCTATGGTAGGACCGAACCTCCAGCTGGGTGATGGGAGATTTCAGAGCTGTCCCCTACAGCTCCAGTTGTCACCCAAGACCTCATCTATAACCCAGCCATGGAGGACATGCTGATCCGCTTTCAACAAAAACAGGCCACTGTTGCCCGTCAACTCGACCTCATGAGAGCTGACCACGAGTCCCTCATGAGAGCTGACCACGAGTCCCTCAAACGAAACCTGAGAGCTGATCATTAATCATTCAAGCAAGACATTAGAGCTGACCACGAAACCTTCAAACGAAAGCATGGAAGCTCAGTTCATCGCCTTGAAGGACCAACTGACAACTCAACCGGAAGCCTTGGTCGTGGTAGTCTGCTAGGCCACCTGTCACAGCACATACACCTGCTTTGACACCACAGTTCATGGGGAGACCATGCCACTCCACTGTCAGCATGGGCAGTGTGATGGCATCCACAAGCCAACTGGTGACAGCGCTATTGGTACCAACGCTCACAGCCCAAAGAAGCAGCAGCACCACAGGGCTACTCGTTCCAAGCAGATGCACTGCCATCCAGCAACGACTGATGCCATTGCCATCCAGCAAAGATTGACCGATGCTCTCTTGGCCACCAACCAGCTGCCCAACAATGTAGCCACGGCTCCATCTCCCAAGCTAGCTTGTGGGAGTTGCCTGTCACACGACCCCTGCGGGTCCCAGC